ACGCATGTGCGCAAGCGCCAAGGCCAAGTCCGCCGCACACGGATACGCACACGCCATGTGTCCATGCTGCCCCGCTGCCCCACCCCACCGCGCCCCGCTGCCCCGCCCCACCCCGCCCCGCCGTGCTCCGCTCCTGGATTATACTTGTCAAGATCCGGAATGCATGCTGCTGCTAGGGTTTGGCCCTGGGCAGCTGGCAGCCATGCGGGTACGTAGCCAGTGCCATAACACACTGGCCAAACTGTCTGTATGGCTACATTGTGTGGAACATTCGTTTTCAACAGTTCCACACGACCTATTTTGCCCCCCCATCCCCACCCCCTGTCGGAGAGCACCAGGCGGGCCGCTATTCTGGCCCCCCCCCGGTCGACGAACAGCGGGCGGGATGCTGTCGCGGCTGAGGCAATGTGGCGGCTGCTGCCCGAGCACGTAGTCATTTGCAGTGCCACGTGGTAGGCTGTTGAGGAGCTAAGACCCTCCGGGCTTAGCGGGCTGCGCCACATACATATATTTTTTCTTCACTATTTTTCTATTGCTGTAGCAGCAGTTTGGCAGTAGTTCAAGATTCCCCCTGGCTTGGGGGCTGTGCGACTGTGGCCGTAGGATGGCTGATCAAGATCTCAGCCAACCCTGACACATCATCATCACTGCGGCAGCAGGCCGGCAGCACCTTGAAGGCCAAGATTCTTTGGATCTTGGTAGTTTTCTCTGCTCTTGGTCAACCAAGAGTCTGGTATCACCTCCCTTTCACTAACGTCCTCTTCCACCCCCCCTCTCTCTCTCCCCCCTCCACCATCTAATCACTTTTTCTAACTCTACCACTACTCTCTCCTCCTACCTCCCTCTTCACTCATCTTCCACCATCTTTTTCTCTCCTCCCCTCCCCACTCACCATCTTCTACTAATCTCTTCTACTCCTCTCCACCTTTCCCATCCCTTTCTCTCCCATTCTCTCACCCTTCTCTCTCCCTTCCCTCCCCCAACTACAACCCCATCATACCCCCCCTTCTTTGCTTCAATCTTTTTCTTTTTCTCATATATTTCTCTCTCTCTTCTTCACTTTTTCATCCCCCTCCCCCCCAACTTCCAATTTTTACTGCTTTTCTTCTTTTTGTGTTTCTTTTTTATTTAAATTCCCTCTATTCTTCAAAAAATTGAATTATCTTATTCTCAACTTGTTTTTACATTTTTCTGATTAATTTTATTTTTATTTTTATTTATTTTAAATTTTATTGTGGCACCGCTATATTTGTTTAGGGTGTAGTTATTTCAACTCTCGATCTACATTTTGACCCCGTGGGGGTAATGAAGTGCTGCATAAATTTTCTCTTTTCACCCTACTCTCTCCCATCTTACTTAGTCATCCTACCCCTTAAGCAGCATTGGCCATGGGGGAGAGGTCGATGGTCCATTGCGCACCGGATTTGGGGTCGAAGTTTTGAGGAGGGCCAGCGGATGAAGGCGATCCAGGGCGGGGGAGTGTGCAGAGGGGCGCGCGTACCGAAATGTTCACAGCGAGCCATTAAACGAGTGAGCGCGCCCACGGGGCCGGGGAGCGGCGGGCGTCTATGTATCACCCACGGCCGCGGCCGCAGGGTCCAGCTCAGAGGGCAGCCGAGTTCATGGCTGCGGCTGCAGCTGCATAGAGGCCACTTTTTCACGGATTTTCCCCGTAAAAAATAATAGGAAACGAACAAAACGCAGCCTGAGTTCAAGTGCCAGCGGATACCGCCAGCACTCCAAGTGGGCCTTGACTTCAAGTGGTGTAGAACGAGGCCCTCAAGGTACCTCAAGTACCTCCCGGTGGTACCTTGAGTTCAAGTGCCAGCGGATACCTCCAGCACTCCAAGTGGGGCTTTTTTTGTTTTTGTTTTTTCCCTCCAGCGGGCGATCCTGGTCCAGGATTGGTCAGCAAGCCGTGGAGTTCGTTTTCAAGTGCATAGATCATGGTCAGGTTTACATGGAACCATAAATAGACGTACTGTAAATTAATCACAAGTTCTCGTTTAATGTGCATCATGTCGAACAAGGCTCTAATTCTTTTTTTCTAGATCCCTTGAACACAAAGACCCACGTTCTATAGTTGGACATGCTTGCCCACCTACGCAACTGACATCCTCAACCCAAAAGTCCATGTGAAAACACTGGATGCGAGAACGCGGATTTATGTAAAATGCCTTGCCGCCGTCTTCACCCGCCCGAATAGAAGGCCCGTCTAGTCATTACAGCTGCTGCTCCTGTATTTGGTGAAAATTTCAATCCAGATGCGGCGAAAGGACCGTCGGGTGTTCTATTTGTGTGCGAGGACGGTAGCACTCTCAATCTCCTCCCCTCCATAATTCAAACAGAACCTTCCCAGGCAATCTGAACTCACCTTCAGCAAATTCTACCAGCAATATGAGAACACCCACGCCTCGCCACGCCCACGCCACCCCACCGACAGTGGCGGGCTAATTTCGACCAGATCTCATCCAGCCATGATCCAGGTGCACATCGTTGACCGGAAGATTAACCACAGTTGACCGGGAAATTAACCACAGTCAGGAGAATTTGTTGCTTACGTCTCAATTAGGTGCACATCGTTGACTGGCAGATTAACCACAGTTCACTGGTTAATTAACCACACTCAGGAGAATTTGTTGCTTACGTCTCAATTAGGTGCACATCGTTGACCGGCAGATTAACCACAGTTAACCGGCGAATTAACCACACTCGGGAGAATTTGTTGCTTACGTCTCAATTAGGTGCACATCGTTGAGCGGCAGATTAACCACAGCTCACCGGCAGATTAGCCACACACAGGAGAATTGTCGCAGACATAAAGGGACGACGAACGAACAGAGATTTTCGCAAAATCCTTGAAACGCTTTCCTTGTGCTCATGCAAATTGGTGCCGAGTCTACGTGCGTGTCGCTCTCAGAGCCCAACGGGGGTGCCAAGATCACCCCATCCGAGAATATTCTGCCCACTACAAAGATGATATACGAAAACAGAGATGGAGCGGAACAGAGGTACAAGTCCTCTTAGCTAGCAACTTATACCACTGGCAGTCCGCAGCAAGCGAAAGAATGTCCATGGCAGAACGTATTCGTGCATGAAATTTCCTTATTCAAAAATGATGCCTCTTTCGATTTGCTTTCAACGCCCCCCCCCCCCCTCTAACAACCAAAACGTGTAGTCTGCCATGCCCTATTACAAACTGTCACTCGATTATTGCACCCCCCGCCATGATCGGCCGGGGACCAGGGTGCAAAAATGAATTGACATAAATGAAAGTTCATCTCACGGCGGACGACCCACTCTGGCCCCCCCCAAATCCATAGCCATCCCCAAAATTCAAATGGCCTTGCATGGGGTATAATAGCTTTTCAATGACGTCCAGGTTTAGTTCAAGGGAACGTGTGAGAATGATGAGAGTATACCGGGGTCTCCCTCATGAGCGTTTCACCACAAAGTGGGAGCGGGATCTACTGCCCCACTTCAGCGAATTTGGTTGAAGTGGAAAATTGGACGTTGTTTACATATCCGTCAAGAGGAAGTGCCACTGCAATAAGACACGTGAATGATTACAGGGTGAAAAGACCGTTGCTGCTGAATCCTTTCGAAAGAAAAGGTCGGGAAATCTCTATAAAACCTCCCCGCGACGAAACCTTTATATTCATCTCCCCCCCCAAACCGGGGGAAAAGGTGCCGCAGGCCCCAAAATTCACTTTGGGCGTCATATTTGCACCTTGCAAAACACTTTCCCGCCATTTTTCCACACCGGCCGTTACCTGCCAGCCAGGGTGCAAAAATACCACCGAAAGTGATTTTGTTTGGATCTGCGGCACTTTTCTCCCCGTTTGGGGGGGAAACGCATACAACGGTTTCGTCGCGGGGAGGTTTTCTAGACTTTTCCCGAAAAGGTCACTAAAATCACGTCTCAGCATCGACAACTGGACTCACGTTTGTAGAAAATGCCAGCGAACATCGCTATCACGCTTTGAAGAGGAGTCCAGCCCAGACGAAGCTACCAAACCGAAGGAAATTCAATGCAAATGCCTGGGACACAGGTCGTGAGATGCGCTGCCTGAGTATGACAAACTCGACAATTTTTTGAGCAGAGAGAGGGAGAGAGAGAGAGACGATAACACCTGGCGCACCCAGCACACAGAGTACAACCAAAAACACATCGTCGGACGCACATAGGACAGCGTCACAGTCGATACAACGAAAACGCATAGACTTGAACCCCGTTTACAACCAAACACGCACGACTTCAATTAACCACATGAAATTCCACAGTGACTCATGCACTGCCGGAGTGTGACAAACTCAACAATTTTTCGGGGAGAGAGAGAGAGAGAGAGAGAGAGAGAGAGAGAACACCTGACGCACCCAGCACACACAGTACAACCAAAAACACATCGTCGGACGCACACAGGACAACGTCACAGTCGATACAACCAAAACGCATCGACTTGAACCCCGTTTACAACCAAACACGCACGACTTCAATCAACCACATGAAATTCCAGTGAATCTGCTTCACTCGGCGACAATTCCGTCCTCCCGCAAAATTCGAGAAATTGAGTACATTTTCAGTCAAAGTATCTCAATTCGCCAACTCCACCCTTCACGAAATGTAAACAACAAACTGCGCTCACTTGCATGCCATCCCGACCAGTGCACCCACCCTACGCCAACTCCATACCACCAGCAATGACTTGGCCTAAACAGAATCGACCTCAACCCTGCATAAAATCCAGAATCTGACCAGACTTTCAACAAATTACATTCCAATCTTGCCCACCTCCTGACCACCACCACCTCCACAACCTCTCCACCCTTGCCCACCTCCTGACCACCACCACCTCCACAACCTCTCCACCCTTGCCCACCTCGCATCCAAAGGCAATCGGAATGGAATTTCAAAGGACGGCAACACCTCCTGAGCACACGTGTGCCACGTGACGAGTCTTTCCAAACCGCCAAGAAATAATACTGCAAGTCAAAATAAGCCGATAAGGCCAAGCAAGATCCTAAAAGTGAAAACAAGCCGATAGCACCAAGCAAGATCCTGAAAGTTGAAACATGACCAAACATCTTGGCAGTACCACGTTGTGGATGATCTGATCGCTAAAAATTACGCGAAAAGTGTATCGGAATCGACTACCTTCATCCGTCTATTGAAAGAGAAAAAAGAAAACAAAGAAATGTCACCAACAAGACGACTTGCGGGTGACGTTTCTATATATAACGTTTTTTTGTTCTAGCGATTAGCAAGTAAAAAGTGGACATGTCGGCCGCGTTTCTATATTTTTCTAAAGCTATTAAGGGCATACTCCACTACGAATTTTTCTAGTAAGCTGTGGACGTACTTGCAGTCAGATTCACCCTGCTCCGGCCGTAATTGCAGTCAGATGCATTTACGAAAGCGCTAGCATCAGTATGCCCTCACAGGTTTACTACTACAACTACCCCGTCACCATAATAAACCTCCACTCAAAGAGGCCCACGTCGTCCATTTGAAGAAAAAAAAACACATGCAAAGCCGACGACATACCACTGTCAAGATCTCTTACTCCCACAATCAAGACTATCGTCATTCCCACAATCCAACCGCACGCTAATCGCAAATGTATACAAGCCGTAAGGCCGGTCAGATACCGTGATACTATCCTATGTGTACAAGCTAAAAGGCCTGCTCCCACACCGCCATACTATCGCGATACGCAGCATTTTGTGCAGAAAGAAATTTGGACCATCAGCGAACCAACATTCAACCTCTTTCCCTACCCTCGAAAGTCGACACCAAACGGCAGCAAAAAGAACACTGTACGAGCCATCCAGCGAACGAAACGTCAACATTCAACCTCTTTCCCTACCCTCGAAAGTTGACACCAAACGGCAGCAAAAAGAACACTATACGAGCCAACCCTCAACCGACTCCCTTGCAGCTCTGGCTGCGCAATTCTGCAATGATTCTCCCTCCCTCGGACACCTCTAATGTCCAACAAGCTTCTGACGGAAGATTTTCCTATAGTAAGAGGGTTTGAAGAGGAGGTAACAGTCCAATCCGAACAAAACAGGAAAAAAACAAAAAAGCACGAAACAACGACAACGACAACAACAACAACAAGAACCAAGGACGAAAACAACGACAACGACAATCACAACAACAAGAACCGACCGTCAACCCAACTCCCTCGACGCTCTGGCTCTGACTCCTCTGGCAATGAATAATCCCTCCCTCGGACTCCTGTCTGTAACGTACACCTTCTCGACTGTGGACATTCCTATTCTAGGGAGTCAAAGAGCTTACCGTCGAAAATCAGGACAAAACAGGAAAGAAAAAAGCTAACGACAGAGTGAGTGTCAACAACAACAACAACAACAGTCAACCGTCAACCAAGTCGCTTGTAGCTCTGGCTACTTAACACTGTAGCGACCCTCCCCTCCATTGGGTTTCCTACAATGTACAGCTTTGTGACCGTAGACAGTGCAGCAACGTATCTTTGAGGACGCTCTCCTTCGGCCTCCACCTCTTTGCCGTCATCGAAACCAAGACATCAACACTACATCGAGCAGATCCGTTTGATGGGGACCGGACGCTAGACGCCCATGCAGATGTAATACCTTCAGTGCCATCGCGAATGCACTTCTTGTGAATCTGTCACACTTCTTTCTCACCTCATAATAGAGCACAAGGCGCCTTCAAACGCTCACTCTGAGGAAGCCGCGAGGTCCACCCAGCCACACCCTGAAGATCCTCCCCCATCCACACCCTTAACATCCTCCGCCCTTCGTCCTAACCCTCAGCACCCACCTCCCTTCGCGTCCCACGTCCCGTCTCCATACTCTCAATGGCGGAAGGAGGAAGTTTAACGACATCGTTTCCAGTCCTTTTTCTCCTCGGTAGGCGTCCACGCATTGCCAGGATGAACTGAGACGAACCTCTTAAGTTCCTCCTCTTCCCTGCCCTGAGGTACCACTTTCTCCCCGCTTTACTGGCCAGCAGATCCCCTGCCCTGTCCTCGTCCTTGCCCTGCATCCCCCTGCCCTCCGCGGGATGCCGACCCACCTGTTGTCCCCGTCGTCGATGATGCTGATCCTCCGCCCTGCCCTGTGGTGCCGCTCCTACCAGCCGTCCCCGTCGTCCCCGTCGTTGACCCTCCTCCTCGCCCTGCAGATGAGCCACCCGCCCCTCCAGCGCCTCCTTGCTCTGTCGATGTGCCAGCCGCCGCCCCCAATGTTGACGTTCCACCTTGCCCTGAGCTACCCCTACCCCTAGTCGTCCACGCCGTTCCCGTTGTTGATCCTCCTCCTTGCCCTGCAGATGAGCCTCCCACCCCTCCAGCTCCACCTCGCCCTGTTGATGTTCCGCCTTGCCCTGACGTACCCCTACTACCACTCGTCCCCGTCGTTGATCCTCGTCCTTGCCCGGCGGCTGCGCCACTCGTGCCACCAGCTCCTCCTTGCCCTGCAGATGTCCCACCCGCCCCCCCGGACGTTGATCCTCCGCCTTGCCCGCCAGAGGTCCCCGTCGTTGATCCTCCTCCTCTCCCTGCGCTGCCCGTCGTCCCTGCCGTGCCGGACGTCGATCCTTCCATCCCAGTGTGAACACCCTGGCGCTCTCCTTCACGGCCTTTCCCTCCCGCCCTGCTCTCAACTTCCGTAGGCGGGATGATCAATGCGTCCTCGCTAGATATCGAATCCGCGTCCTGAATACCATTGACCATCCGCAGCCTCGACTTGGGCACGCCGAATTTCTCCGCAATGCTGTCCAGCGTGTCACCCCTCTTCACTTCGTACACATGCGGAATCCACAAAAACTGACCCGCACTCAGCCTCTTACTGCCCTCAATATCGTTGACCTCCATCAGAAAATGGCGGGGGACGTCGAACTTGTCCGCGATACCTTCCAGCGTATCACCGTCTTTCACAGTGTAGTAGACGTTGTAGTTCCCTTTCTCCCCCGACTTCGCTTCTCTCTGTCCCTCTCCTGAGGGAAAGAACGTGCTCAACTTCGATCTAAACCACCGCACGAAGCGCAAGGGGTTGCTGCCGTCCCTTCCTTCGCTACCTCCAGACGTTCTCCTGCCCTCATCACCTTCAGATCTCGCTGCCGCCAGCCAAAATGGCCTTGAACGGGACTTCCTGCACGCCCTCGTGGAACCAAGTCCCACCTTGCTTGGCCTCGTGGAACCGAGTCCCACATTCAGCGGGACACCGCTGCGAGCAGCGCTTAGATGCCGCTCTGCCCGACTGATGTCAGGTTCAGAGAGCGAAGGAGCTGCTCGAGTCGACGCTCCTCCGCCACTCCGGAATAGCAACCATGTCCGCACTCTCCTTGCGCGGGCACCAGATTCTGCATCTCGCCGCTCACATGCAATCACACCGGGTGGTGCAATTGAATGGAGGCTACCTGCGCTCGTCAACGCCATGGCCATCCTGTTAATCGGTGTTCACAATGGCTTGCACACAGACTGGAGCGATCCCGTCTTGAAATCACTGCGCAGAACACCAGACTCCCACTCCAGCGATTGGCTTCTTCCCCTCCCGCCCGCTCGCCCCCCAGTTTACCGCGGCCGCCTCCCTGCGCTACGTGGGAGTGGCGATCACTGCATGCAACGTCGCTACGTCTCCACGTTGTCACTGCATGCAGGATCGCTACATCGCTACGTTGTTTCAGAACTACATACGTACACGAACCGAAGGCATGGCAATTTATCCGAAAAATTACTGCAACAATGGCTGCCGATCCATGACGCCCAGCCCAGTATTATGAGTGGTTTTTTGCACTACATCCGCCAACATTATGAGTGCATCTGAACTCAAGGTTGCCCAGATGCACTCAAACTGTTGGCGGATGGAGAGGTGTGTGACTAGGACCTAAGTAAGCAGGTGTGACGCCCAGTAAGAGTACGACTAAGTAAGAGTGGTTTTTTGCCCGAAAGAACAACCAGGTTCATTCATGTTTACTCGGCCCGGACGTAGCGCTGACGATGACGTGGTGCTACCTGTGAGAACGCTTGCAAGAGGGCAGTACGACTAAGGGCGTAGTTGCAATTACTCGCCTACCGCCAACATTATGAATGAATGCATCTGAACTCAGAGTTGCCCAGATGCACTCAAAATGTTGGCGGACGTAGAGTAATATAACTAAGCGCCTCCTTCGACACCACTTGAACTCGAGGGTTAACCGAAATTTCCCCGTTCCACACCTCCCTTTATTTTTTTATTATTTTTATTTTTTTTTAAGTCCAGGGTGTTGTAGAGGCCAGTCAGTGTCTGTACAGTGATCACCTGTGAGCAGTGGGTGTCCTGGAATATGAGACCACCTCCCAACCCATCCTCACGTCAAATCCATCCATACTCCTAGCGCACCCCCTATCCGACTATTCTACCTCAGTGTGACCAGCACTCAGGACCATTGCCCTACCAACGGGCACAACTTGGACCCAACAGCAGTGATAGGCACCAGGGCTGATAGATTGCCCAGCCCTGGTGGAAGCCGAATCGGACGAACCTTTGTAGAACGGGAACTTCGGATGCGAGGCCCAGACGATGAACTACAGGCCCCATATATATATAGCCACCGGACAGTTCTATCCGAATGTCAGTAGGAACTCCACCCAAAGGCACCCTATCCAACCTACCTGAACCAACTGTAGGCAGACCCCACCAGTGACTAGCTCCCCAGCCTGCACCCAATGGCACCCTATCCAACTTACCTGAACCAACTGCAGGCATACGCCACCAGTGACTAGCTCCGCAGCCTGTTTTTTGTGTATATATTCTGTGAATCTGTGTAGACAGTATCATGTGTGGAACCTTGTGTATGTAACCTGTAAGCGATATATAATTCGCAAGCTATGTGTGTATGCCCGAAAGCTATGTGTGCTCTGTGAATCATGTATCGAGGAAGAACGGGCCAGCTGGACAAGRAMCCCCCCCAAGGACCGAACCAAGCTTGAACCGGTGACCTTGTAACATGTAATCCAAGACTCTACCGTATGAGCAAATGGAATGATCGTGTGATATGCCAGACTGGGGAGAACATCAGAACACCCGAGACCAACACCCTAAGCAAACCCTGTGAAACCCACAACCAACATACAACACCGTGGACTACCCTTGGGTGGTGCACAGGCAGTGTCCGTAATAGTACCATGCGTCAGCCCWAGGGGATGTGTGTCCAGCCATGCGTCAATCTAACGCCCTGCTGGTGTCCATGCACAAGGCTGTGGGGTTTTGAACCCGCAACCTTATACCACAACGCGCATTTCCAACTGGTGCTCTAACCACTGAGCTGCATCAACCTCCCTAATGACCCCGCCATAATGTTTTCACTTTGAATTCCTGCTCTCAAGTGTGCATACTCGAAACTCAAGTGCCACTGGGGCGAAATCGCGCTAGAACACGAGGTACCTCCCGTAGGTACCTTGAGTTCAAGTGCCATAGAATACTGCCAGCACTCCAAGTGGGKTTTTTTTTGTTTTTCTTTTTTTCCGGCAGGCGATGCTGGTCCAGGATTGGTCAAGCAGTGGAGTTCGTTTTCTAGTGCAGAGATCCTGTTCAAGGGTTTCCTCAAGTGTACATGGAACCATAAATGGAGTAAATGTAAATTAATCACAATTTCTCATTTAGTGTGCACCTGAGACTTAAGTATTTTCAAGTAGTGACCATGACGCGGGCATACCCGTGATGATGATGCACGCATGGGGCAGTACCCATGAAGACCTAAAGGCCTCGTTCCACACCACTTGAGTTMAAAAACAAAGYGAAAAGTCATTGTTCCACCCCCCTTTAGAGCGACCCGCTTTGTTTTCACTTTTTTGCGTCCCAAGGGTGTGCCCTTGAAACTCACGGGCGACRCAGCCAAAATTGCCCTTGAATTTATCGAAGGTACCTTGAGTTCAAGTGCCAGCGGATACCGCCAGCAYCTCAAGTGRGCCCTTTTTTTCGCTTTTCTTTTTTTCCAGCAGGCTATCCTGGTCCAGGATTGGTCATGCCGTGGAGTTGGGTYTCAAGTGCATCCTGTTCAAGGGTTTCCTCAAGTRTACATGGAACCAGAAATCGAGTAAATKTAAATTCATCACAATTTCTCGTTTAGTGTGCACTAGAAACTCAAGTATTTTCAAGTGGTGTCGAACGAGGCTCTAAGCATGGGGCATGGGGCAGGGTGTGTGGATGGGCAAAGCCCATACTAGGGGAATYGCCACACCACTGACAAAATAAAGAAAGTACGTGTGCATCTTCCCCATAAAGGGGCTCACCACACCACTGTCAARAACACGATTTCGKATAGCCTGTCAAAATTGGAGACAGGAAGAAAATTCGCAAGTTGTCAGAGAATRCTTCTCGACACCTCCTGTCGAAAGTTGTTGAATCCCCATTAGGGGGCGTAGGGCAGAGGGTCTCATTGGTTGGGCTTCTCCGCAKCATTTCAGCACTCCAGCCTGCGATTGTGGATTGGGATCTCACCTGGRTTCCTTGATGGGGCCCAGGAGTGGGGCSATCTCCGAYGGGACTGTCCCTAGATGAGTACTCTTTGYTAAAYATGGATAGTAGCCAMGAGTACTCMTCATGCTTTATTTCTTCATCGGCTGCAAGTCAATCTGATCCACCGTGGGTGGGAGACCTGAGGCAGGTTAACCAGGTCTAATGCTACATAAGACCCCTGCCTCCAGGGAGTCAACATTACATTCAGTCTTGCTATGCTGACATTACACTGGCTTGACGCTGGCTAGACGCTAGCTTGACGCTGGCTAGACGCTGGCTGCTCAATGGCACTTCGGACGACGACGCGAGAGTGCTGCTTGATTGCTGGTGCCCTTCTGCCTTGGGACCAGCCTCTGCTAACGTGGCACATGCCACGCTGTCTTCGACATTGCGGATGTGGCACATGTCACTCTGTCTTCATTACTGACAAGGCATTTGCCACAGGGTCTTCATTGTTGAGTTGGACGTGACAAGCAGGGAGATTGGGATCTGTGGATGATTCACAGAGAGAGGATACTTACATGCTGGTGATGTCGATACTGTACGCTGCTGAACATATTCACAGGAGAACTGTGCAACGTGGCACTTTGATGTGATCAGGACCTGTCAGACTCGTCATTGGACACTGTTTGGAGAAGCACGGATAAGGAGTCAAAAATGTTGGGCTACTATCTTGGTGGTAATTGATGGATACTATCTCTTCCACCTTCTAATCTGTCCTACGTGACACCCGCGGCCTAGGCCACGGGCAGTTCGGCCGCCGCGGCCGAAAAAGTCGGTAGCGGCCGTGGCCAATGAGGCCCTGTCTACGGCCTGGTTTTTTAATATTTTTTTTATACCCCTAAAAATACGTAATATATATATATATATATATATGTATAGGGTTGCAGGGTTTGCAAAACCCTACAGTCCTATATTTTTTATTCTGGAATCCGACCTCGTTTAAGATTTTTTAAAAATGAAAAATGAAAATCGATTTAAACAAATTATTTAAAAATAAATAAAAAGAAAAGCACAATTTTTTTTTGACTTTTTTTTCATGAGGGACATGGTCGCTGAGTTGTCCTGTATTTTTTTAGAATTTTTTTTCGGGTTTGTGTCGGGAAATTGGGTGTTAAAAAAAAATCAAGATGCAAAATTTGAAACAAATAAAGGAAAAAAACGGTAAGGCTGGGGTTGGTGTGTGTGTGTGTGTGTGTGTATGTGTGTGTGTATGTGTGTGTGTGTGTGTGTGTGTGTGTGTGTGTGTGTGTGTGAGAGAGAGAGAGAGAGAGAGCCAATTAATCAATCAATCAATCAATCAATCAATCAATCAATCAATCAATCAATCAATCAAATCAATCAATCAACCAAACCAATCAATCAAATCAATCTTGATTGGTTTGGTTGATTGATTGATTTGATTGATTTGATTGATTGATTGTGTGTGTGTGTGTGTGTGTGTGTGTGTGTGTGTGAGAGAGAGAGAGAGAGAGAGAGAGAGAGAGAGAAAGAAAGCGTAGAGAGAGAGGAGAGAGAGAGTGTGTGTGCGTGCGCGGTTGTGTGTGTGTGTGTGTGTGTGTGCGCGTGGGTGTGTGTGGGGGGGGGGGGTTTGTGCAAGAAACACGGCCATCCCACGTGGCGTGGGAAACCTGTGGTGGAGCTCACGAAGATCCCATTAGTAGTTAGTCTGCATGTACATTATGCAGGGAGACTCGAATGACATCCAAAATCATTAGATAAACGGGGAGTGAAGGGGGGGAAAAAAGAAAGGAGTTGGGGGAGTTATTTTAAGGAGCATGGTGGGATTACTAATTAGTGTTAGTAGGTTAGATGTTAGGAGAGGGACAAGTCCCAATCGTAGGGGGGGTGCACGCCCTTAAGCGCGCTTTTCGCTGCCTAGCACCCATAGCAGCTCATCAGAGGGATTAGTGTTAGCTTCGGTTAGCAGTATTGGGAAAGAAATAAAAAAGGTCGCTTCGAGAGAGCAGGGAAGCATGGGATAGAAGGGGGAGAGTGCGCAGGAGGTAGACCATGGTTAGAATTCCTTACCTAAGAGGTCAAGATCGGTGCAGGTTGAGGATCAGTCGCCGCCATAGCACTGTGTGCACTTGCATAGCGAAACGTCAGATCGCTGTTCAGCGTAAGCTAAG